TCAATCTCCTCCTTCATCTCACAGCAGCCTACATTAAAAGCCAAATCTCTTACACACTGACTAGAAGCACTTCTGGAGGCTCTGAACAACCTGGAAAAATTTTTTAACTCACAAAGTTTCTTGATTCGTTGAAGCTGACAAGCGTTTAATGCTGACTTTAACTAGGCAGGATCTTTCCCCATTGATTATAACAGGAATAGCCAAGTTCACTGTGTCTTTGCAGACCAAAAGCAGGTGGCAAATTTTCACTCAGATTCACAGCACGAACCTGATATATTAAAAACCATGATGCCACTACTTAAAATTCTCAGGTTTATAAATAGGGATAAGGAAACTACACTTACTTTAGGTGAAAGGAAGGCTGTGGTGTCCCTATTTCAGTGTGAGCAAACAGCCATGCCGCTGCCCTGAACTCTGCCAGGGAGAGGCCAGCACACATCAGGAGTGTTAGCATCCAGGTGCCCCCAGGAACTGTGATTAGAACTTGCAGCTCTCTGAGGAAAAACAGAGTTAATTAGAAGCAAATGGGCCTGGATACACTGAAGAGATGAGAAACTAGACTTTTGTGCTTTGTTTTATTCCTAGTCAGAGTACTTTCTACAACAGATGCTCCTATTTCATCGAGTGGTGTGACTCAGAGTTGTGATTCCAGCTACCCACAACAATATTGTTCATGTGCTCTCCATGTGCATAGTCCAAAGCTACAATTTAGTCAACACTTATTAACCTAATTTAACCTCACATATAATCCTATTGACATCAGAGTGTGAGTAAAGTTTAGGAACTTTAAGAGTCCAAGATCAAAGTTAGACTTGCCTGAACTGTCCTGCCCAAGCTGAGGCAGAAGAGGACTACACCTCCAGCAGTCAACCTGCCTTCACTCTGCCTTTTTTCTCTTTTTCCTAGTAGTCTGGACTGCACTTTAATCCACAGACCTTCCCTTAAATCCAGTATGTCAATCTTGCCAAGTTTCATCATCACAAAAGTCATAAAGGCTGCATCAGTCTATGCAGCAAGGGATGTTTTTTAATGTGCCTTGAAAACTTGGAACAGAATAACAGGATCTGGATGGCAGAAAGAGGGAAGTTCCCAAATGTGATGTTCCAGAACTGCTCACATCATATTGCTTTCTAGCTGAAATAGCAATTGCCCAATATCTTCACTTTTGCATATGTAAGGGGAGTTCTTTACAGAATTCAGGATAACTTTCTTGTTGTAGAAACAGACTAAAACCACATAGATCAATGTCTCTTGCTAAGCCTTCCAACTAAAACCACATGCAGATTTTAGTTTGTGTGCATTTCCTTGAGCCATTCCAAAGCAAAAAAATTATGGGGTAAAGGGAAACTTAAAAACATGAATCCAGCTGTGTAACTCCCAGAAATTATCAGCTCAAATGAACTGACCATGTCACAGACTAACCCTCAAGAGGTGCTTAGTCACACTGCTGAAGAAAATGAAATGGAAAATACAGTAGAGCTGGAAGATATCCAAAGAAAAATGAGAAAGAAGCTATATTCTGAAATACTGTGGGTCAAGAAGCAGATGAAGACACACTGCACTTCACAAAGACAGATTCTTTTCTTGAATTGCTTACAGCTTGATTTAAGCAAACATCCGCAGAAGTCAAAACACCAGATTCCACTCAGAGTTAAAGCCTGATCTTGTCTAGTTTATGTGCCCAGCAGTACAGAAGGAGAAGTGTTCAGAAAGAAGGATATTTAACAGTAAGTTTTGAGTGAAGAAAATCCTTACTTATTTTTGAGAAATAATTTCACCACAGAAGTCAGAACATTTTGTCTCAAAAAATCAGGATATTTCATTTTGAAAAAGTTTTGAATTAATTTAAATTAAGAAATGGAGAAATACTTTTTTAAAGGGTTAAAATAATACTGACAAGATAATGAAATACCTAGTAGCAGGTTAAACAGACATTTCATTCATAAGAACTGAGGCTAAGAGATGAGATCAGGGTAGCAGTCCACTATGACTCCAGGACCAAGCAACAACCCTGGCTTCAAGGCTTGGAGATGTCACAGTCACTTTTCCAGTGTATTCTCAATCTTGCCATCACCACTAAAAGACTGTCCTGGGGAGCGCTGGCAACCTTGCGCCGGAGCCTGGTGGTCTCTTGATGGTGCTCAGGAGGCACGTGGGAGAGCTGGCAGCATGGTGGCTGCTTTTGGGGTGCCACAGAGACTCTGCTCCCGCAGGAGAGCAGCAGGACTGGCATGGGGAACAAGCCAAAGCCACTTAATTTGAAAAAACAGACAAATCTTTTTCATGCCAACTTTAGCATAGGTCATGATGCTGATGTTGATGCTGAGCACCGCAAAGATGAAGACAGTCATAGCTCCCAAGGGGCTTTCTCTCCGCATTGCCAGCAGAAAAGCAGTACACACCAGAATGCCAGGGAAGTTCACTCTTTAAACTGGTGTCCCCATGCTGAACACCAAGAGCTAACTGTAAGCAGTTGGTGCCATCCATGTACAGAATCTGACTCTCTTAAGAACAGACCAAGCTAAGGCTGGAGAAAGGACAGGAGTGCTGTCTGAAGCCAGGATTCTGTGCTATAGGTGTAGGACAAGTTGGAGCAAGAACCATCAGCAAGCAGGACCCAGGCAGTCCCCATGGTCAGAGTTCCAAGTACCACTCAATAGCCCCAAGCAGCTGGTGGGGTTGTGGCCAGTCATTGATGAGCAGCTGGCCAGGCTCACAGCCCAGCCCTTGGGTTTAGGCAGACCAGCTGTGGTCAGGCAGTGAGTTATATCTGCTTGCCTTGCCATGATCAAACGGGCCCTGACACTGAGTCATAGATACCAACAACACTGACATACCACCCCAAGAGTGCAGGGAAAAACAAGTGGGCAAAAAACAAGTGTGCATGTGCAAGGCTAGCTGATCTGAAAGGAGCGGTGGGTGAGGGATGGACGAATGCCTCCTCTCAAGCACTGAAAGAGCAGGAGAGGCACTGCCCCATGCTCCCTGGATGCAAAGGCTGAGGGAGATGCAGCGTGCCTGAACAGGAGAGTGCTGATAAGTGCATCGCTGAGCTTCAAAGTGTGCGGCCAGAACACCCCTGGGAATATGCAGGCAACTGAGAACAGGAAAAAGGGGGGTTAAGGATGTAGAAGAGTAACAGATGAAAAAGTGGGAAGCTGTTATAAGTAAGAACTATAGCATGACAGAAGAAGAAAGGGAAGCATTTACAGCACAGGGAAGTCTGCAAAGCACAGGACAAAAGCAGGTACATCAACCTCACAGAATTGCAGAGAGCACTGACAGCGACACTATGGGCACAAACTCACAAAGGGAATTCTGCAGGGAGGATCTCAGCAAAGTACACACACCTCCAGGGCTACACAGTCTTAAGGCATTCCCCAAATTTCCCTTATGCAGTAAATCCAGAGAGATACCTGCAATGAAGTTATCTTCAAACAGGGCAAGAGAGGCATGTGGAGGCCACTGAACTAGCAAGCAGGAAATGCAGAAGAGGAAAATGTCTCTGAAATAATATTTCCCAACCCGAGAGCTGTAAGTTATCTAGGTGTGAGACCCAGACCATTGTGAGTTCTGTGACCCAATCTGAGAAGAAGGGTTGAGAAACACCTCTATTCCCTCTTTCTTTTCTTGTGTGGAAAGTACACTTCCGAGTAATGTGAATTTAAGTCCTTGAGACAAAGAAGCAGCAGGCCTGGCTTTTCAGTTAATGCCCTACTCCCTTGGCTGTTTTGCAGAGGACAGGCACATTTCAATTGTGGCATTTTTTGGCTCACACTCCAATGTAGTTGCTTGACTTCCTAACTCCAATATAACTTGCTCCTTGTTCTTGATCTAAAACAAGAAGAAAGATTTCTCTTTGGAGAAATCAGTGAAGCAACAGGGCATAAGACAAGTGCTGGTGGGACATAAAAAGGCACCAGAAAAATGGTTCTAGTAGTCAACAGGGGAGTCCAAAGGTGTAGACGATAGACAGCATGGATGAAGTAAAAAAGACAGACACTATGCACAGTTCACAAGAAAGAATCAACATAATTCCACAATATTATTTCCTTTATTCATTTAAAATATGTCCTGTTCCATTTTCATGCTAGATCAGTCAGTTTTTGCCAGACCTCTGCTTTCCATGAGGCTGGCTGCTGGTTGGGTCAGTTTATTGTTCACTGAGATATTGGGGTTACCCAGTCAGTGGAAAAATCTGGAAATGGTCCTTTTTTGCACATAAGGAAGAAATACAAATGTTGCTGCTGATTAGTTCAAATTCTGACTGCCCTTTTTTTTTTTTTTTTTACCCAGCCTGATATGTTGAATGTTCTCTGCATGATTCATCCAGAAAAATAGCAATTTAACGTACAAGGGCATGTTGGAGCAGGCACAAACATTTCAGGGAAACACAGATTTAGCAGAGGATTTAAATATCAACATACAGAAAATTATCTGGCTTTGTCTGGATGAAGAATACTTTCACAGCCTAGGATTCTTAAAAGAATAAAAAGGGAGGTAGGCACCCAAATCACACCAAATTTTTTCAAAGATTTCTAAAATCCTATCCTGGAATGTGACTCTCAGACTAGACGAATGGATCAGATCCAAGCATACATAAATGAGCATAGCCTCAGTGTGGAATCACAGAAAAACAGGGAAAGAAAATATCTCATTAAGTCATCTGGTTTATCCCCCTGCCTTGGGCAGGATCATCTATACCTATATCACGTGTGACAGATGTTTGTCTAACGTGTTTTTAAAGACCTCTGAACACAGAAACTCCAATATTTTCATTATCCTCACTGTCAGAAAGCTTTTCCCTACTGTTTAACCTACATCTTTCTTCCTGTAGCGTAAAATCAAAATTTCCTATCAAATAAAATGGGCTTTTAGGAAAGACTGTTTCTGTCCTTTTTACAGTTTTATTTTACCTCCTGCATCCATTAGGATTATCCCTGCATTGCCCAAAGTCTTCTCTTCTAAAAGCTAAACCATGCAACTTGATTAGCGCTTACCTCCTTGGTCCAAGACCTCTAATTATGCTCAGTGCTCCTCCTTGGGCTCTTTCCAACTGGTCCACATCCTCTTGAGCTGCAAGGCCAGAGAAGTCCAGCTGAGGTTTTTCCAATGCTGAAAATAGCAGAAAGATTACTATACACATCAAGCAGGCTACATTCTTCCTCCTGCCTTTTGGTATTCAGCATTGCACTCCATTTTTTTCACAGGAGTATGACTGTTGACTCAATCAACTCCCAGAAGAAAACCTTTCCCATATTGAGTTCCCTCCCTCCTTTTTGTATCCCACTTATCCCAGCTATCCACCTCAAACAGCACTTTTTCTTTGATAGGTCCTTTTACTTGAGATGCTACCTAGAAAATTCCAATTGACTGATTTTTTAAAGTGCATTCATCTCCTTTAGAGCTTGCTCATCTGCCAGTGTGATTCTATTGAAGAGAACAGTTTGGAATTATAGAAATGAACCCTTATGCTTCCAGCTTGTGCAATTTGTTTTAAAAAATGGAACAAAAAAAACTATTAGAGCATAACAATGACCTTAAATGGCGAATATTTTGTATAATCTAACCTCCATTGTTCATTATAAGCATGATTGGATTGTAACATTTCAGAGAAGATCATGTACAACTATTTGGGAAATAAGCATGATGATAAACATGTGTAGTTATTGCTTTTAACTGGCAAAGCTGTTTATCAGCTATAAATACAGAAACTGGTTTTACCTGAAAAAAAATCATGCAATGAAATTCACCTGCCAAATAGTTTGCAAAGAGATATGTTTTCAGTGTGTGCTATGTTTAAGACTGTCATTCACATGACCAGTAATTGTGCTTACAGCAGATGGTATGCCAGTCGTGTATTTACAGTACTCTGTGAAGTGCATGGGGCAGAGAGAGTGGCCCCTCTTAAGGCTGGGAATCTGAGACATGTGGGCTGCACGTCAGCATCAATATCCTGCCCAAATCAGAACAGGCTAACTTGTTACAATTGCAGCAGGTGCTAGCACATATTCAATATTTCCTAGTGCATACAGCTATTTAGACATGTATATGTTTTCTGCTTTATAAATGCAGTGCATTTCCAAAACTTAGTCTGATCAAATATACATGTTATAAAATAAGGCACGTAGAAACTATGTACCGTGAGAAGTTTTTCTGGGAAGACTGGGGAAGGTGTCCTTGTGCTCATACGTAATAAAACCAACCACTTGTTTTTTCTGTTCACTTCATGGTGAACATTTCTGGAGCTGTTGAATGCAAAATTTTTTTTCATTCAGTTTTTATACTGCAAAAAATACAAATCATGATGGAAAACGTTATTAATTTCCTCACGGATATTTCCAGCATACATTCACCACAAGACCACAGACTGACATTGTGAAGGCATTCTGACACCTAGGTCACCAGGAAACCAACAGAAGTTGAACTCAAGCATCCCTGAGACCTAGGGCACACAGCACCTGTCCATGAGAAGCCAGCACCGCCCAAATCTGCCAGACCCACAGGTACCTGCTGCCACTGAGCAGGGGTTGCCCCAACTACACAAAGACTGAACAAGGACTAGGGAGATTCCAATTCCTTCCTGCAAGTCTTCCTATTTTGAATTTGGAGTTTGCCAATATAAAAGTCACGGATAGTGCTAATTGGGATGGCGATGGACTAGCACAGCCTTCCTGCACTGCCCTGAAGAAAGCTGAGCTCTGCCTGCCAGCACATGTGCTGCTCGGTATGCATATGACCCCGGGGATGGTGGCATTGCAGCAGGACCAGGCACAAAGGCTTTGAACACAGCTTGCTAGATACACCTCCCTTCTTGCCATGCGCCAGGCCCCTTGCTAACTGTTGTACACCCCTGTGAGATGGTGCCACTCAGTACCCCATTAAAGATTCAGTAACTACATAAATGAGGGGAAATTTACACTGCCAAACACTGCCGTGCTCCGAGTCATTCTAGCAAGAGATCTCACCATCCTAGCTGCTGCGATTAACCACAGCAACAGAGGCTTGTGAATCCTTTTTTTCTCCCTAAAGTGTGCATGTTTCCTGCCTATGAGAATACCTTCTGAGAATCCAGCTTGTTCCTGAGCTTACAACAACCTGTTACACTCCAGTCAGTTCTGAGTCACCAGGCACAGTTGTTCACCTACTACTTTTCAGTAAACTCCAGCTGACCTTGCACAAAGCTGGGATTTCAGCTCAGTTGTCTCTCCAACACCGAAAATTTAAGCAGGGTTTTCCCAAGCACTTGCAGACACTCCCAGGCCCCTGCCCAGCATTATGTGTCTGGCACTGCTGAAGTCCTTCGCAACACTCTCCAGGCAGGATTAGATAAGATGCAAGATTTTGCCTGCATGAGTCAACCACCTCACAAAGTTTCTTTGTTAGTGACTTTATGACCTTGTCTCTGCTTGAAGGATATACCTATAAAACAATAATGTACATGAGATGGAGCCTAGACCAGTGACCAAAATAAAGTTACAATAGGAAAATCTTTTTTCTCACCAATTCAACCTGTTTACAAGCATCGCTACAACATCCCAAGATGTTGTACCCCATCCCAAGAGTTATACCCCATTACCAGCACAATTCAGCAAACATATGAGTGTTAATCAGGTCAGTTGTGAGCCCAGGCTGTGAAACCCAGAGAGACATCTGCACAATCACTTGTCTCATTTACATCAACAAACACCAACAAAGACTTGCATCCCTTAAGAGAGTTTCTTACCAAGCTGGCAAGGTCACTACCGAGTTGACTGATGAGTTATGATCCAACTGAAAAACTAATCTCTATTCCTTTCCACTCTGCCCTAACACAATTAGGACTGAACACTGAACATCTTCCAAGTCATGCTTCCAAATTATAGTTACCAGCTCTTCTGACTTCTTGGAGACCCATAAAAGCTCAAGAAGACAAAAAACAATTTGAGGGGGATTTTTTTCTATGCATATATTTCAGTAGAACTGTCATCACAGGGAGTTTCAGAAGTTCAGCTACTACAATGATTGCAATCCCTGAAGAAACTCAGTCCTGTACTTCCTTTTTATCTGAATGATTATTTTGAAATTAGAGAAGTCCTTCTGTGTGAGTGTTAAGGCCACCCATTGCAAGAGGAATATGAATAGACACTCCAATTAGTGTCTAGAGATACATCCATACCACACAGGTTCTTATTACTTTACTTGATACATATTACATCCTGCAGCTTCAAAAAGGGCCTGGTAAAATTTTGCAAATTCAGATGGCTTAATTGTATATCTGGCTTTTCAGAAAAGGAATATTCCAGTTCTTGTGGCTCTATTTTTGACTCACAAGAGATGTGCAGAACTCCAAATCTTGATTTTGTTGCTTTTGTTGTACCTATTTTTCTTCCTTTAAGATAAAAATTTCAGTAATTTGCTGCTAAATTACTACAGGTTATTCTGACCAGACTCATTATAGCGTATAACCCATGACAGTGAGGTTGGACTAGATGATCTCTAAGGTCTCTTCCAGCCTATGCCATTCTATGATTCTATAGTAAATGTACGAGCTGGACATTTTTTTTAAGATTTTTTTTTTCTGTTTGCCACCAGGAGGTGCAAATGATCTTTTCACCAGCACCACTTGATCTTCCTTATAATCACCCACTATAGTTCCAAGGGGGAAATGGCTTGCTTTATTCTTTGACTAGCAGTTTTCTCCTTGCTGCTATCCTTTCATCCTGTCTACTTGCTGGCCATGAGGGCTTTCAAAGCCCTTACCAAATGCGATTTGCAGCCTTCTTTTGAATCAGCTTTTGCTGTGCTGCTGTTGCTCCTGGCAGAAATATCTGGTAGTGCTTACACACTGGAAAACTGCATGCACAATACCATGACATTACTACAGCTTATTTCTGTGGGCGCTTTGTTATCAGCCTTTAAACAGCTTGGCAGGGCTGTACAGCCAGTCTGGATGAGAGCTGACTCTGAGCCACACAGTGAAAGCCAAGGACCCACCAAATGCCTGCAATCCACTTCTTAAAGGAGTGAGCAGCCAGGGAATTAAAAGCAGGAAGAAGAGGAAAGAGAGCCCTGTCCTCCTCACCCCAAGCAGAGGTGAGAGCATTAAGGATGGGTGGGGTTTCTGTCCCACCGCAGACATGTTCAGTGTAAATTTAGCCCTCGTGAGAACTGACATCTGAACCAGGCCCAAATCTAAGAGGAGGCATTTCTTCCATGTGGGAGCAGCCAAATTTGTAAGGTATAATCACAGGGTGATGGCAGGCTCTCAAGATTAGGTGGTCTCACTGCACTTCTAGTGAAGATAGAATTTTTAGCAGATTTAGCTAGCTTGCACACTGCTAATTCTAAAATCTGATAGCAGCGGCTCAGATCTCAATCTGGGAAGCTCCCTAGGACGAACATGTTTCCAAAGAGTTTTCTCTCTCTGCACACACACACAAACACCCTATCAGTGGGCAGCACAATGATGTTACAGTATGACTGTACAAGACACTCAGTGCTACTGAAACAGCCAGTTCCAGTACCCTCAGGAAACAGGGCATCTGTAGGCTAACTTGTGCCCCATCCCACCTGAGCAGCCTCCCCTCCAACCTCTTCTGCCCTTTCTCCCCACAAAAGCAGGCAGGGTTACCTGGATAGCCTCTCTGCTTCAGGAGTGACATAGCAGAGTTAAAAACAGGACACACCTCATCTTCTCTCCGTGACCCAGAGAGCACCACACCTTGCTCTCCCTGGAAAAGCTGCTGTGCTTATGCTCCCTTCCTAAGAAAGAGGGGTCACCAGGAGGAGGTCCAAGGTCTTGGGGTCTTACAAACCACATGCTGCAGCCTCTAGGATCAGGTCCTGCTCTCCTCACGGGACCAAATCAGCTGCAGAGCACTCTGTTAGACAGCCCTCCTTCCCATTTACAGACCTCAAAACCCTGTAAGCTGTTTTCAAGTGCTTATTTGCACAATGGCATCTTGCTATACTGTGATACCTTCTTTTGTTATCAGAATGATGGAAGACATGCCCATCAATAAGACATACACTAATGCCTTCAACATCTAAGTGCAAACACACGTAAGGGTTTTACTGGTTTCCAGTGGATCAACCTTTAACATTTTTTTTCAAGCTTTGTCCTTCAGAGCCAAGTATGAGTATTGCAGTAAAACTACTGTGAAGCTTTTGGAAGTTTCAAACATATTTGGAAATTTGGCAAACAATGAGCATGTGGTACAGAAAAAAAAAGATTAGAGAGGTCAGAAGTTTATATGTATTTCTATAGAGGACATAGTATTAGCTTGCATTGAAAAGACTGTGGGGATTTGGTTTGCTGGTGTGTTGTGGGGTTTTTTTTTCCACTTTCTTACTTTTCATAAAATTATTACTCTGGAAGTCAAGTACATGTTTCTCTACAGTTGCCAAGCAAGGCACTTAAAATTTCTCTCTTTCTTTGTGTCTCTGAAAAATATCAAACCAAAAAATCCAGGGAAAGTTCTAAATGTGCAGTAGACTTGACTTGGGTTAAAATGACATTATTAAAGCTAGATTTCCACAGCAATTCAGCAGTCTGCTAGAGGCTATGCCCAGCCTCTACAAACAGCAACATGCCTAGCCTTGTGGTCAGCAATCTGGTCTTAGATTTTGAGCATGGCATGTGATCCATGTCAAAACTTCAGGCTGTGCTCACCATCAGCAAGAGCATATGGATTCAGAGGAAAATCAGAAAACAGCAAGGACAAAGTGAACCTGGTGTATCTAAACAGGTATACCTCCAATACTTTTAACTAGCTCTGTATTAACTGTCCAATGTATCTAAAAACTGATGACTTGCACTTTAGTCTCATCTACTACATGTGCTCTTCCCCTTCTTCTAGCACAAGAGTAATCTGCTGACAGGCTGAAGGACTTGCTTTGCAGAGAACAAGAAATACCCAGGTGACCAAGGAATGGAGGAGCAGGTTCACACAGCTGCCTTTAGAGAAGGCTACAGCAGGCCTCGATGTGGGGAAAGGAAGAACAGCCAGATGGAGAAGAAAACTGAGGTGAACCCAAGGTGAGGTGGAAAATGAAGGTTCATAGTTTGATATTCAGTGGGAGAAAGAAGGAGGGAGAATGAAGAAAAAGAACGAAGAGTGGAGATGAAAATCAAACATCACCCAGGTCCTCCAGACTGTAGCAGATGTGAAAACCATAGAGGGATTGAGCAAGGACGAAAAAGGGATCAAGACACAATAAGGGTGCATGGGGTGCACAGCCCACAGACACGGCAGCACAAGGAATGCCAACTGCCAAGGCCAAGGACAAACTAGAAAATTGCAAACTGACAAAAAGCTTAATTCCCTCCTGATTAACAGGCAGAAGCATTGGCACCAAAGCATGCCTCTCGTTAGCTCTGCAGTTATTTTAGCAGTAAATCTTGGGTTATCAAAAGGAGAATATGACAGCATTGTCAAGTATAAAGAAATCTAAATTCACTTATTTTTCGCTCGCCACCAGACTGCAAGTACAAAATTGCAGGGTTGTTTTTTTTTTTAATGTGACATCTAATGTAAAAAAGGATTATTTTATAGTGCCAAAATTATTTTCTAGTGCTGAGATTATTGTCTAGTGCTCAAATTGGAAGAAATAGAATCTGAAAAACAGTTAATCAGAAGGGCATGTTGTGGTTAGAGGTTCTGGTTCCCTTTTATCCAAGTTTTACAGTCATATTGCAAATCAGGAACAAAAAGAACTGCTTTTGTTATCCAGTGAGCTACATTTTAAGATTGCTAAAATCAAGTGTTTCTTTTCTCATTGAATCCAAGGGTAACTCACATAAGCACATTTGGGTATTTAATTAATATCCACAAGTTGTAGAACACAGGAACACTGCGAGCATCACTAAGTAGCACATAAATCATTTAAAAATGGATGCCCCTTTTCTCCTTTCTTTTGCTTGTTGAAAGAGCTTTGTGGAAGCTCCCTAGTCCAAGACCCCAGAAGCAACACGGTAAGGTGACAAGGACACAGACCTCACCGATTAGGAGCTAGGGCAGGCACAGTAATGGAAGTGCTACAGCTAAAACATCAGTGACCAATTTACATCTGGCCAGACTTCTGCCTGAGAAAGTATGGAAAGAATAATGTGTAGCAAGAACTTTGATGGTCAGTGAGGCTAAATATAGCACAAAAGTATATTCTTTTTTAATCAAGGAATGAAACAATATCAAGATTCATCTTTCTAATACGGGGATAGATCTGCTCATTTACCCACCTGCATGTAATACACCAGGGACCTTGTTTAGCATCTCAGAAGGAAATATGAATTTGTAACAAGAGCGAAGACTAAGCCTCATCTCAATGTAGAAGAAACTGGCCATTTTCACTTGCACTCTAACCCTAAGACAGACCTTTTGCCTGTACCTGAGCAAGCATACCTACCCTAAAGGCTGTGTGCAACCCAGGCAGGAAGAGCTTGCAAGAGAAGCTCTTTTCCACACCAGAATCAAAATAAAACCTTGTAAATCCAGGATACATGTATTCTGGGAGAAGGCAGCAACAACTTCACAGAAGGTACAATTTGAACCACTTGTAACTGTACAGACACAGCTAGAAAATACTTAGAAAAATATTGTGCTGGAAAAAAATATCTAAATGTTTAAAGAAGCTGGCAACCACAATGATGGATGTAGCTTAAAAACCAGAATAGAATACAATAGAGTGCATTTGGCTCTTTTCAAAACAAACAGCATGTTTCTAATCACCAGCATCACAGTCAAGCTAAACATTTCAAACCACACCACCAAAGACAATAAAAGCATGCATGTTGATATTTCCTACCCAACAGGCTGTATTATTGCTTTATGCCCACCTTGTCCATTGTCATACCACCTTTCTTACCACTGTATTTTAAAAAGTACTCAGCAACTCATATTTAGATGACTGCTCAGATTTCCTAATGGATTTTATTCCCAGTAGAGAACTTGGTTAAATAGCCTATTATTCTGGAGTGCTTAACACCAAACAACTGCCTCTGAAATATCATTTTAAGAAATTCAGTTTAATAACTCCGTGCCTAATCAGCTTCCTTAAAGAAGAGACAATTCAGCAGTTTCATGGTATTCCCACCCTTCTTCTCTTTTCTTCAATACAGAGCTGGAGAGGAGCATGATGAATACCAGTGTCTGGCTCTACCATCCCCGTCTGGTTTTCTCATTAAGAAAAACAGAGCAGAGAGGCTGTTAATCTCAGGAGAAGATGAAAGACGAAGTTGCTCCTGTCCAATAGGTTGGCTGGCTGCCTGCAAAAGCTACTAACTCATATAACATTTACATGTTACAATTTTAACAATTTTTGCTTTCAGTATGTAGTTATAAATAATGCCATGTGTAGAGTGAACTTAGAGGAAATTTTGATAGACAGCTGGCAAAACCTTGCCTTGTTGCATCTCATTAGTGAAGGCTATAAAAACAGCAATGAGTGAAAATGAGTCAGATTATAAAATGTATTAGAGCCTGCCATATTTTCAGTGTTCAATGTGATGATTTTTCACTAAAGCCGGGGAGGACTCTGCAGATGAGGCCTCCAGAGGTCAGTCAGAAATGATTCCTGGCTCTTCCCCAAACTCCCTGTGTGATCTTGTCTAAGTGAGTTTATTCTTCCCTACTTCAAATCTGGAAAACTAGTTGGAAAACTCACCCTAAATCTCTCTTGGCAAAACAAAAATATTGCACTTAGGTAGGATTAATCAGCTACGCAAATTCAAAATAGGGGGTGATTAGTCAGGGCTAGACCTGTTATTTTTCATAACAGGTCTTGGAGGTTGTAATGGATCACCAGCTGAGCATGAATCAACCATGTAATCTGTTACGAAAAATGCAAGCAACTCACGGGGACGCAAACAGGAGCAGATCCTACGGGTGACGCCACAGTCCTTTAACTGCTGGTAGTGCCCAGGTGAAGAACAACATCCCACTCTGGAGCATGTCAAAGGAGACAAACCACTTAGAAGACGTCTGAGAAAGACAAGAAAGGCAGACCAGAGGCCCAGAGCAGCCAAAACACAAGAAGCGCTTGAATTAATTGCTGTCATCCAGCCAAAAAGAAAAAGGAGACTGAGGAAGGGAGGACTGAAATAACAGTGTTCAAGGCTGCTCCAAGATGGAGCAAATAATCCTTTTTTCCAATATTTGTGGTGGCAAAGGAAAGAAATAAAGACCTTAAACTGCAATAAGAGAAATTAATGTTAAACATGATGGAAAAAATTTGTTTAACAGGAAGGGCAGTAAAGTATCAGAATAAATTGCCTTGGGAAGCTGTGGAGCATCCATCCTTGGAGGCCTTCAAGAACACGTTAGACAAATATCTTTCAGGAATAACACGAGGACAGTTAATCTTACCTTAGGGCAGCATGGTAAACTCTGATCTTTCAAAATCCTTTCAGCCTGTGGGTCTGTGATAATACCCGTGTGGATGCCGTGTGTTTGTACAGCACCTTGTCCATCAGAGCCCTTTTCTTTCTTCCTGAGAGACAAACAATAATTAGTGACTATCACTAGTTTTATAAACATCATATTTCAAAGCACATGGTTTTATGCCACATACATATTATCTAAACTATAACTTCAATTTCAAATAAATACATGTTCACCAATTTCTCTACCGAATCAGGCTACCTGTTAGGCATAACTATTTGATGATGTCACATTTACAAAAATAATTCACACAGCTTTCACTGATAGTGGGAAGAGGGATCACTACTGGTTTGCAGATAATGACTTCTCCCTTTTCACATGCTCTCCTGTGCTGTATTAAGGGGGAAAAAAAAATAAACCATCTATCTATTCTGTTTCTTAAAAACTTTTTAAAAGGAAGACCTAAAACTTCATCTTTGAATAAGTTTTTGCCTTAATCTCAATTAATATGAAAATAGTAGGACTGTAACTCTGAATTAATTTAACTGTTGTGTCATATAAGATTTATTATATAATGAAAACAGTTAATTCCTAATATATATACATTTCAACTACTATTTAGACTCGTATACGCAGGTAACACTGTCATAAGTACAGGTCACTTCACGAGTTACTGCCAGAAGTTATCATCTCCTCTGTTCAAGGCTGTTAATGATGTATTTTCTCTCTTTGCAGCCTACTTTCACGTGCATGTAGAGAAACACCACTGAAGTGAAGCACAAATGATTCAATAAAACAGAAGAGTAGTTATGTTGCTAATGGAAAAATTCAATGACTGTAAAACTTTCCCCTCACACATATTACTGGTAGTTTCTATTTAGTTCAGTGCTTCATTATTAATTTGACACCAAAGCCCTACTAGGCAATAATAAAATTTAACCAGTGTTTCATATATTATAGTCTCAGATACATCCTTTTGCCTGGCAGCAAAGGATGTGATTCAGTTCAATTCTCATCTTTTAGGATGCTTACTGCACATCAATGACTACCCAATTAATTAAAAATTTTGGAGCCCACCTCTGCTTCAGCATAAATCTGACTTAAGAGAATCAAATTCCATCAGACTTTCTAAGTAGTGTAATTTGACACAGTGATCCACCATCACTTGTTGAAGAACAAAAAGCAAATAGTGTGACAGCAATGCAATTGTTTCCCAGATATTAAGATGGCCCACGTTTCCACACCATGCAGAAAATATTACAACTTCTTCCTTTTTTATTTTTATTAATATGGATATCTTTAATGTTTTAAGGTTTGGCTTCTACATATTTTATTAATTCATCTTTCATTAAAAAAATAACATTTTTCCTTTCCTAAAGGATGCAGAGGTGTCCTTATAAAGCAGCATCTAGTGTCATAAGTACTGTCCACTAAGGCAATAAGGACCCATTGACAGACAGTACTGAAAAGACCAAAGCATTGAAAATTTTTTGATATGCTAAAATTCAGAAGATAAATCACAATTAAATTACGAAGAGGCAAGAACATGGAAAAAACAGGTTAAAGAGTACTTAGGTAAGTTAAACATTTTTAACTCAAGATAAGATATACAAAAACCTGAGGAAGACTTGGGAAATCTCAGAGCCCACTGGTAATAGCTTGTCCATGGAAATCTATGGAGGATTAATAACATACCAGAAAACCACAGAGGAGTGAAAACGGTGCTTATTCTTACAAAGGAGCTACAAACACAGCAGCTGGGAATTTGCAGGTCTGACAGTATACTTCTTTTATCAGAAAAACTCTGGCACATGTAATTAAACAACCTATTTGCAAGTACTGAAAAAACAAAGAGCTCCATGAGTGGCAGTCAGTGTGAACTTATGCTAAGGGCAAATAATGTCAAATTATTCCAGTTCCCATCTATGATACAGGATCAGGCCTTATGGGTTTGCAGAAGAGAATATATTACATAGTTCAATTTTAGTAAAGCTTTTCATATTTTCTTATAATCACAGCAACCATGTCCTAGATTAAAATGTAATAGGCCAGGTACAAAACTGGTAGGAAAAGATATTATTTATCAATTTTTAAAGTAAGTGGAAGCTAGGATTCTGCCAAGGATTGCCACGGGACTTTTACTATGACTATAGGCAATAGTCAGGAGAGTGGAAGAATGAAGTTAGAAACTGATAAAGGACAAGAACATAAGGAGAGGCAACCAAGAAGTTGGAACGCAGACTCTAAAGAATAGAATGTTGTTCCATAAGGACAAGTGCAAGTTGTAAACAGGAATAAACAGCTTTACAAATACCAACCAGGGAACTATGGGCTGGATAAAGGGATGCAGTAATGCTGCCATGGCAGCATCAGCACGTCAACCCTGGAAGAGGCGAATGTCACACCGGGATGTACAGCCTGTGTACAATCTGTTGGGCTCAGGTGGGAAGCACCACTTCCAGCCTGCTCAGACAGAGCTCAGTGCCTAGTTGCAGGGTGCTGCATTTCAGGAAGGAAGAGGAGCTCTTGGAACTCGACGAAAGTTGGATGAAAACCAGGATATAACCTGGACTGCTTAGCCTGTAGATGAGAATGCAGGAGGTAGGCAGAATACTAAATAAAAAGATGTTAGAGAAAGGAAAGGAAATTTATTTTTTAAGACGCATGATGAATAAAAGTAATGAGGATTACATTTCATCACAGAAGACTCAAGAATTAAGAAAATGAAGAAAAAAATTCTCATGTTTTGGATAGTATAAGTCAAGAATGCATCAGACTACAGTGTATTCATCATTGTAAATGTCTAAGCGGGAAAACATCTGTGAGGACTTTCATAAATATGGGATGTCTGGCCTTGCATTGGGGAAGAAGTTACAGGGTCTGTCAAAGTCTCATTTAACCCTATGATTTTCCAGCATTCAAGATTTAATGAAAAAAAAGTAAAAACAAGACAAGACCCTAAAACTCCCAGTTCCATAAATCTCAAGTTACAGGGGATATAATTTTTTTTTTTTTACTCTCAGAGTTAGTTATTTTGTATGGTGCATGTCTACAAGGGAAGATAAAGGAAGAAACAAAAAAACAATAGGACATTTCTTTGTAGAACAGTGACATTTTTTCTGTTACAGTGATAAGACACCACAAAAAGCCTGCAGAAGAATAAAAAGCCCGCACATCAGCCTTCCAGATTCCTGGTGACAATCCTAACAGCTGGACTACCCTTGAAATATGCCGTATCTCAATTTTCCTCCAGAACTGCCTTCTATTCCTTGACTCCACCAGCGTATTTTGGTGGCTGGCTGTAAGCTGGCATGGGGCTTGCTGAGGGGCAACCTAAATCATTTCTGTGAGTGGTGACCTCAACCACTAGGAAGCAAGCAGAAGGTATTGCCAATCCCCTTCAGCCACCTTTTGGGATAAACACAGCTGGAAAAGGCATTTGAAGGCGAATTATTCACCAACAGGGGCATTACTGGATTCCTGAGGTATTCACACTGAGAGCCATGTCCTGGCCAGGAAGCTGGCCTCCGCCCAGATCACGAGCAGGTGGAAAGGAAAGGAAAGGAAAGGAAAGGAAAGGAAAGGAAAGGAAAGGAAAGGAAAGGAAAGGAAAGGAAAGGAAAGGAAAGGAAAGGAAAGGAAAGGAAAGGAAAGGAAAGGAAAAGCAAGGAGAGGAAAGGAAAGGAAAGGAAAGGAAAGGAAAGGAAAGGAAAGGAAAGGAAAGGAAAGGAAAGGAAAGGAAAGGAAAGGAAAGGAAAGGAAAGGAAAGGAAAGGAAAGGAAAGGAAAGGAAAGGAAAGGAAAGGAAAGGAAAGGAAAGGAAAGGAAAGGAAAGGAAAGGAAAGGAAAGGAAAGGAAAGGAAAGGAAAGGAAAGGAAAGGAAAGGAAAGGAAAGGAAAGGAAAGGAAAGGAAAGGAAAGGAAAGGAAAGGAAAGGAAAGGAAAGGAAAGGAAAGGAAAGGAAAGGAAAGGAAAGGAAAGAAAAGAAAGAAAAGAAAGAAAAAGAAAAAAAAGAAAAAAAAGAAAAAAAGAAAGAAAGAAGCCCAGCAACAAAAACAAAGCAGGAAGGCAATCCTGAAAGACAAGAGACACAAGGAGAGAGCTAGACAGACAAGAACGGCAAGCCAAGGGAGGTAAGGCAGCAAGGTAATGCAAAGTGGAAAGTCAATGGGAAGACAAACAACATGTTTTTACTAAAGCTGTTAATTCACTCTTCACGTCTCTCACTCAAATCATCCATCACAACATAAACTAAATAATGCTCAGAGAGCAGCTGCCAGCCTGCCACTGTAAATGAACCTTCTGTATGTGGAGCCCTGCTCCGGCAAGCTGGCGTCCTAAGAGGAAAAAACCTCAGCTGCAAAAATAAACAAATCAGGTACCACAACCCTCCTCCCTACATTTTTTTTCCAAAGAATGTGTGCTACTAAGTTTTAACCCCTTCTTTCTTGTTAACTAACCTCAGTATTTTTTCTTTGCTTAAAACCCATGCCACCACATCATCCCGCAGCATTTAAATGGTTAGTGTGTTTTACTGAATGGTGCAAAGCTTTACCCAGCACCAACTCTGGGCTCATGTAAAATGATTAAACTTCTGGGAGCTGGATATTGCTAAAAGGATGAAATCTGGACACCACTCAAGTCAGATAATAAAATAGATAACATGGCATCTAATTACATCTATAATTGGGAGGTTACTTTTCCTACCTCTGAAAATCCTAACGCAGGTTGTTAACAAAGAGCACACTGGATCTAAATTCACTTGCAAACTCCAGTAACTTTTCCGAGACTAACCTAGCACTGGGGCTTTCCATTCCTGTTGTGTCACACAGCTTGCTTTGGCTAGTCTTAGTTCCACAGGCTTAAGCAGAAATAAGATTTTCCTGGTGTAGTTTTGTTTGTTTTGCTTTTCCTGCAGGTGATTATCTTTGTAACTGCTTGCGTTATGGATTAAAAAATCACCTGCAGGTAGGCTGAAGTAAGTACATTCTGCTGAATGTTTATTAAAGCAGTAGTTGCTTTCATTTCCCAAAATACACAGTGCGCACACCATCCTCTGTATAAAATACAGTGTATAAAACCCAGTACTTTACAAACAGATATAGCATTTA